GGATTCTTAATGTCAATACGAATGGACCATATCAGAATTTCATGATTATTCATCTTTTATTCAAACTTCCTTATCTTTTGGCAGATTGTTGAGAAAAACTCTCTAATAAATCAAATCAATAATTCATCCATAGTTTCCTTTTGACATTGATGATTATTCATAGATTTTACGATCACCTACTACTCAAATCTGAAAAATTGGTATTTAGAAGAAAAAATCCATGGTGGAAATATGACACTGAAAGTACAAAGAAATTGAAAATAACGTATGCGTGTGCTTGGATATCCAACAGAACAAGTAAAATATTGCCAACAAATTTCATACAGATTGTATTATGCATATAAACATACTCATCATATCAGAGGAACGAAGAAAAAAAATGATTATTTTAGTAAGTACGTTCGTATACAGTTATTTATACATCGATGAGTGGAATCAACAAATCGAGGCTTTTTATTCGTATTGAAACAATTTAGTTAAGTTTTGCAAGAGAATATTTTGTTTTAAGATGAAATATGTTTTTAAGACAGTAAATGCAAAATCAAATGATTGCTGAGAAAAGAAAAATATACAGAATATGTAGGATTGATGGTATTTAACGAATAAAAACGTTAGATGGTAAAGAATAAGCATAGGTATAAAGAATGAATGAATCACAAAATAACGAATAACAAACGTAGTTATTGAATTTGAATCAATTAATACTTAGAATCATAATAACGTGATTAAGAACGAGAGAACATAGTAAAAGTGTAACTGCAGGTCATGATATAAAATATCTGCATAAATATTTGCTAAGTAGTATGATTATTGAAATAAAAAAAATCGAGTATTGGTTAGTCAGTTGTATAAATTTTTCATCTTAACATATTCTCAAGGCTGATATCATTCGCACAAATGCCCAATGACGTTGAAAATCAACAAATTACTTTATTATTGATGGATGAGAGTGAAAAACCAACATCTGAAAATACCGAACAAAACTTAAAAACGTCTCAATCACGAAAGAATTATTGTACTGAAGATTATATCATCCGCTATGGTGTACCCGCTCTTATTATTATCTTAGTCATTATTTTTCTTATTCTGGTGATTGTGGGTATCCAAAAATATAACAAAAACTGTTCACATACAAAAGGAGTATCATGTAGAGGAATGGCATGGTATTTTACTTAGTAAGGTAAAAAAAAATATAGTTTCTTTTTCTGGATTATAACTATTATCGATGTGTATCTAATTTTCTAGAGACGATTTTGTCATTGGAGATACGTGTTATTTGATTCGCATATTAAATACTTCTCAACACAAATGAAATAAAATCTAATATATCTTATCTGTTTATTTTCATAAATGCTCATAATCACAAAAACCTTCAATTAAAGAAATATTTAACTACGACATTATTAGTGGCAAAATTCAAATAAATATGTTTTNAAACTGGCTCGATTCCAACAAATTCTGCGTTTTCCATCGAATCTGCTCACAATTCAACGTGGTGTGACAACGTTTGGTGGAGTTACACTTTCTCTGTTTGAAATGACACTTGCGGGAGATTGCTATGTTGACACAATCATTCTTGGCTCTGGTACAACTCTTGGCAATACATGCACACTTTTGCCAGGCACACGCATCGCACCTAACACAATGGTCGGCAATTTGACTCGAGTCACACCGAAAACGCATAATTCGGTCGCTGGTGCAGTGCTACTTGGCATTCCAGGTCGTCGAATGCCTTTTGTGATGCCCGATGAGACAAAGCCTACGCGCGATGTATCGCTGGGCGTCCATTCGTCTTTACACGCTCTCATGTCTACCTGTTTAATGTTCTTGATTGGCAAGTGTATGTTCATCACTATTTATTGGTTGCTACCTGTTGTTGTCGCACCATTAGCTCAAGTGCTCCTCTTATGTGCCTTGTATCATTATTCAATTTCGACAAAAACAACTTTGACATATGCTGAGGTAGTCACTCATATAAATCAGTTTCTTGAAACAGACATGTTCGAATTCAAAGTTTTAATCAGTCCGTTTCTATCGCGAACACAATATCTTGTTCTTCTTTTTCGCGCACTCGGCGCTCGCATTGGTCTGGACGTTATTCTACCTGATATTTATTGCCTTTCAAATCCTCATCTTGTAACCATCGGCGATCATGTTCGCCTCAACATCGGCGCCTGCCTTCAGGTAAGTGCAGTTGTGATGTATGTGCATTTTGATTATTGTTTATATGTTTTCTTCAGCCCCACACATTCGAGCAACGTCTGTACAAATTGATGCCTGTTGTTGTTAATCATTCGTGTGTACTCATGAGTTATGCGAATGTGCTCGCTGGATCAACACTCCATGGACGAAATCGTCTTCTCCCATTCACACTTGTCATGAAGAATGATCAACTAGCCTTCAATACAGTTTGGTCAGGCGTACCAGCACGAGAACTTGTGTGAATTGACTTTAAGAAACTTTCACTTTGTTTTTTCAGTAACTTAAATATTCAAATATCATCTTATTTCTTCTCTGATCGTGAGAACTATTGTGCTTTCAACGGTCAAAGACAGTATTTTCTATCGTTGTCGAAAAATATTGATTCGAATTTGTTGAACTCGTAGAAATTTACCCGACAGTTTGAGCTCTTTCTCATCTCATTATTTTGCAATTCGACTTAAGTTTACCGACAACCCGTTTCTATTATTTCCACCAGCCAATTTTGAGAAACTTTACAAAAGAAAATATTTCGTTGATAACAGTTACTTAAGATATTGGTCAGCAGCCCTGACTAGAAGAGAGAAACAGGATTTTCTAATGAGTAAATTCCCCTTTTCGTACTCAATGGGTATCATGTAATCTAAACAAAGAACATTTTTATGAATATTAAAGAAGTATCAGTTATTGACAGAGATCACTGCATAACACCCATTGAAAAGTGATCAAACTTTTAGTCTTACGTACACTGAAAAAAAAAATGCTACGACACCGAACCCAAAAGGGTGTTTTGGACTAAAAAAAGGTTTCGTGCATAATACGGAACCTAAAAGATTTCGATTTCGTTTCAATTCTCTGAACCCTTTTAGGTTTCGTAGATAGAACTATGAAACACTTGACAAAGTATGGGGTGTGGGTGTGTGTGGGTGGGTGTGTGGGTGTGGGTGCGGGTATGGGTGTGGGTGTGGGTGTGTGGGTATGAATTCAACAATTGTACCCACACCCACACCCTCCATAACGTGCTCGTAGAAATCTATACGACGAAGAAAATATTCTTATCGCCTGTAATTGTGACAAGAGTGAGCCGTAGAAATTGCAACTTGTTTTGCGAAAACACATATTTTCATAGCAAGACTGAACACATTTAAACAATTTTTAATACATCCTTTTTCTCCTCTTTTTTTGGTCGGACTATTGACGTGATGCTCATTACGACTTCTTATTACCTCCGAACGACATATTCCTTCCAACTAATTTCAATTTCTATTGAATACAACTTGCGAACTCTACATCTTCCAAAACTTTAGTTCAATGTCTATTGAGTACAACTCGCGAACTCTACATCTTCCTAAACTTTAGTTCAATTTCTGTCGAGTACAACTTGCGAGCTCTACGTCTTTCAAAACTTAGTTCAATTTCCATTATTTATTGAAATTTTTTCAAATTAACTAGAAATGATACTCGTTGAAAACTATGTTTAATTTTGCCTAAAACTCAATTCTGCCTGAAACATATACATGAACATGTAAGAGCCTTTTTCCCCAGATAAGATTCGAACATACAGACCTTGTTTTACATAAAGAACTTCTCCACCATGTGAACATCTATTTATATTAAAAGTATAATCAAAATTGAAGAATATAATGAACATCAGATAACTGCTAGACACGTCTGTCCATGAATACTAATAACTAGTGATGAATTTGAAAAATTAAACAAGGGTTTTGAGCCATTATAGTGGCGATTTATGAGAACAATTTGAGTTTAATGAGAAACAAAACAATAAGTACCGAAAAAAAACTAAACTCTTGCATGGAACAATAGGCGCATTACAAAAAGACACAAATTCGCATGCCGATGCAGAATTTATCAAAATTATACTCATCTTGCAGTTACACGCCAATAAAACACTTTGCCATTTATATGCGAGTATAATAGTTATATCTTGCATAAACATACAAGAATATTGTATGCAACTATTTACTAGAATAGCAACGAGACAGTCTCACATATTTTGCTTAAAAATATTTTACAAAAATCGTATTTCGGAGCATGTGTGTTCGACATACATGTCTATCTTTGTACTATTGTCTTGCATTTATGTGCAATAATTTCAAATATTTGAAATAGCTTGCATGTACATGCGTGAAATATGACGCATTGAAAAATATTTTGCAAGTGAATGGAAGTTTCTGAAAATTTCCTACAAGCAAATGTATTTTTCAAGATCTCATGTTTGACTGCGCTGACTATTGGCTTTCATTCTTCTTTATTCGAAGTTGATAATAATAAAGTGCCAATAACCATAAAAATGCATCTCTTGCCGAATGCCTAAAGCGTTTTCACTGTACAAATAACAGCGATTATTCAAATCTAGCGTGTGCGAACACATTGATTTTACATGAAGAAAACATATGAATCAAAATGGTATTTAAAGGAAACAAATGATTATTTCAAAAATCATTCAATTGGCAATGCCTACGAGATTGTGACACGAAGGATAATGTTTCTTCATTATAAGTTTCTGCTTTTCTGGTGGTTATTGTTGGCATGATGTAAGTACATTACTGATGTCTGTTAGTTATTAAATTCTTTTCCTTATAAAAAAAAGACATCCAACAGAAATAAAAAGTGCAGCGAAGACTGATGACAATGGGAGAACGTTCCCGTCTTCAAATGATACATCGTTATTTACAAAAAAAACATATTTTTAGCAATTTTATCAATATTTTAATTAAACTGTTTTTTTTCTACAAAAAAAACTTAACAGATAAATCGACTTCTTAAATATTAAATTCAAATTATTGTTCTATTAATTTTCGTTTAATATCTTCCAACTCATTTTGTAAGTCTAATGCTATTTTTCTTATTTCATTATTTGTTCGTATTCCTGATTCTTCAATTGTATCACGTACATCGTCGATTTTTTTTAAGAAACGTGTACTTTGTTCTTCATTAAATAAACTATCATCACGTGTTGTATTTTGATGATAATAATAACCTGTTTCTGTTTGTATTTGTTCAAATATTCCAATAACTGTTGATGATGATGATGATGATGATGACACCGATGGATGAGATATGACAGGTTTACGTTTTTTTCGTGATGTTAAGGTAGAAGAATATGATGGATTAAGATTATAAGGAATGTTTATTAGATATGAACGTATTTCAAGTTTACGTAAATCATATGTTAATGGAGTAAAAGTTAATTTTTCCCAAAAATTCATTAGTCGAACATTTTTAGATAATCTTTTAATTATATTACCAATGGTTTCACAAAACCCACCTAAACGTGCTTGAAAACCTAATACAACACCAATACGTGCTCGTAAATGTTCTCGTTTGGCATTTAAACGATGTTCTTTTACATCAACTACGGCTAAACCACCCTAAACAAAGAGTCTTTCTTATATAAGAATATACATAAACATTTTTTTTTACCATTATATTCATCATAACAATAAACATGGTGAATATATAAGCACTGTAAAGTATTATTGCAGCTTCCGCACCAGGCAGTAATGAATTGTTTGGAAAAAATAATGCATCCATATCATATTCTCCAACAAACATAACTAATAATTTTGGTATAAAATTTAAAAAATGAAATTGTGCCAATATATCTTTACAAATCATATAAAAAGCTAAGATATAACCAATCCAAATTAGAAAATAAACAGCAATAAATTTAAGAAATGTTCCATATACAGTTATAAATAAAAGACCATGTTTACCAAATTTAACACCATTCATAAAAACTAATAATAAAGATGTCCAAACAGATAATAGACCAATACCACCAGCCATCCATTGAACTGAACAACGAATTCCTGTTTCACGTGTACATTCATTTACATCTACCGAATACATGATGGCACTAATCTATTTAAAACAATATATTATTTTGAATATACATCGTTTCCTTTTCTTTTTGCCAGGCTCTTAGGAATAAAATAAATTCATTATACTATTCGAGATAAGTTTTCAGACTTTTGTTCTTTAATCTATCACGATAAGCAAAATGATGTTCATTCAGTAAATATCCAACAATAATTTGAATTTTCATTAGAATTTTTCTAAGTTCTAATATTAAACAAATTATTCACTCAAAAGACCAAAATGTCGGTCCAAAGGATGTTCTACAAGGCTCGAAATTCCTTTCATTAGTCCTCGTAAAAAAAAAGGTTTTATTTCTATGAATACTTGGTACACTCCATACACTTAGCAAAGTGTACTACATTTTACTGCAAATGCATGTCGCTAAGCACTATGGAGTATATTAACTTTACATAGGATTCCAGGTTTTTATGAAATTTAATGAGGATAATTCGAACCCAGACCGAAAATCAAACAATTGAACTAAAAGAACATTTCTGATTGATACTTACATGCATGTGTAATTCAATAAGGTGAATATAAAAGCTTCGAAAATATTTTTCTCTTTGCGCAAATATTTGAAAAAGTTCTTTTAATACACTACAACAAGATATAACCAATAAAATTAAACGAAAAATACGACATACAGGACTATTTCTAGCTGGTTTTTGAGGATCATTAGCTAATGTTACACATAAATCAAAACATGAATAATTAGCCATTTGATAATAATTTGTACCTTGATCAGCTGGTGTTGGTGAACCTAAAACAGTACCTGTATAAAGTGCAACAAATGTTGATTGACAACAAAGTATAATGAAATAAAGAAAATTTCCAAATAAATTAAATTTTAAATCAACGCATAAACGAACTAAACGATGATCATATACATCTTTAAAATCAGCTTTAGCAATTAAAGCTAAGAAATAAGGAAAAATAATTTTCATTTATGATAGAAAATATTTTTCATTACTTAATGGATGTTGTTGAAGCCAATTACTTGTTGAAAAATGTTTTGTTCGTCCAAATATACATGTTGTTTTCGTCGGTCGGGCATATAAGCAATCATCAACAATCGATAAATCAATTCCCTGATCACTAACAAATTGTTCTAATATAAGTGGTACTAATGGTACACATTCAGGTGTTGTTAACATACGTTGTATTGGTGTTTGATAAAAATGTGATGAATTTTCTTGAGCAAATGGCTCATTATAATGTTTTAAAAATTGTTTATATTCATAACGAAAATCATATTGTTCAATCGGTATATGTACACTGACAAATAATCGAACAATGTCTTTCTTTTTTAATAATATGGCATATTCTAACTATAAAAAAGGAAATAAACACTTGATAAAATTAAATGAATTACAAGATATTCCAAAAGTCTGCAGGGAAAGTTTACGTAAATGTCTTTTAAACAGTTCAAGCGATTTACATATATCTTTTTAATAATATTGTAGTATATTTTTTGAAATTCGAGTCACCTATTCTTGTGAAAGAAAAAATGCAAGTACAATTGGCATACAAACACGTCAGACATATATATTGTATTAGAAATGCTTTTGAATACTTTTGCAATATCATTATAGTAGTAAATGAACAATAACCTAAGAAACTTTCAAAATTACAGAAGACAAATCAATGAAGTTCATGATGCTTGTGAAAATGAACTAAGAACAAGTGTTCGGATCTCTGTAGCAGCCTGCTTCATTTCCTGAATAGCAGCAGACCGAATAATGACTTTATATCATCCAATGAAGTTATACAAAATACAATTTGTTGAACGACTTCACGAAGAACATTGAAAAGATCGAATTGAGATGATATCATTTTGATATCAATGTTTCGGTGAGTCAAATAATTTTTATCGAGGAAATCAAAATTTGATCACAATAAAAAGAATTTTTTCCTATAGATGCCTCATTTTTTAAGTCGTCGAAATCCGTCTCTTTATAGAATTTGATAAATAATTGATTTCTATGATAAAGTATAAAATCAATATTTAAAAAAAATTTTAAACATTCAAAACATAAAATTCATTATGGCTGTGATTTTCGTCAAATACTCTAATGAATTCCGGTCTTACTTGCTATTGTTCATCAGTTATTGTTAAATATTTTTTTGAAAATTATTAAAATACATGTCGAACATAAATCATCCTACTAAGGTAGCTGAATGAAGGAGACATTTGTAAATCAATTTTTAAAGAAGTTTCATAAAATTAAAATTTACGTCACCATTTGAAACTATTATTCTGCTAGGCTTGCTTCTACTGACGCAGTCAATATTATGCCTCTGATGTGCTTCTTGTCTCAAACGTTCGAAACTTTGATGAGTATCAAGGGATCTAAAAGTGCCTGAAGAGTCGAAAAAGAATGTCCAATAGGATATAGTTTTCGAGCGCCCGTTGCACTTATCGTGTACTTTTTAAAGTATACTTGGGAAAGATTTAATTGAATTCAAAATAAGAATTGATCACAGGAATAAACTTTTTGCAATATTTTTTTGAAGATTTCGAGAAGAATGGTTTTATTTATTTCAGTTGATGACAATTATTTTACACATTCGTTGTAAACAAAATAATATGAAATGAAACTCAAAAGAATATACTATAATATTATTTTAAAAAAAAAAGTAATTCAATCGCTCGACTTTCTCAGCGAATTTTTGAGACATTTTGCATATAAATCGAATAAAACAACACAATTTGAAGTATTTTATGAAAGTATATATAGATTGATTCAAAATGTATTTATCTCATTCATTTCAAGAGTCAATAATTTTTATATGAGTATTTAATATTTAAATAATGTAATACAAAAAAAACTAGAATCAACTTTCAAAATTATTATCCTTCTCTTAATAACGAAAGTAATTTGTATCGAACTATTAATTACTTTATATTCTGAAACAAATTCAAAACGAGATTAGATGAAGATGTTAGATCTTATAAGCTGATAGTATACAAATGTAAAATTTTAATTTGAAAACGCTTGGGTTCGATAATGAAATCTAACATCCATTCGATTTTACTAACGTTTAGATAAACTAAGTAGGTTAATGTATCGTGTCAATAAGAATCTTTCATGAATTGATATATTTCAGAGTGAGAATAATTCTCAATTATGATAACTAATTCTTAAAATTTTTCGACAATTGACGAAAATAGATGTATAATATATCGCAATGATATATATATCATAATTCGTACAATTCTGTTACCATATATTTTGTTATTTAAAAGTGTATTATTTACTCCTGAGTGAATAATCATCGAATGATAAATTGGAGATATTTTACGGCTTTCAATAGTCTCACATCGTTTAACATACTTTCTCATGTTAATAGACCTTTTTTTGTTTTTGTTCAGTAATAAAAAATAAAAATAATCTTACCAAATTAAAATATCGTTCATTGGTCTTCACTAATAAATGAATAATATAAGCAAACCGTTTTGGTTCTGAAACAAAAAATGTTAAAATATCTAATTGTTCTTTATCAATTGCATTTTTCATTGAACGAGCATCGATTAATTCTCGCATATCAATATTTGCTTCAAGCCAAGGTGATAAAACTATTTGCTTTATACATTTTAATTGACCTTTTTCTATAGCTATATCAAATGGAGTTTTGCCAGCAATATTTCTTTCAGTTATACGGCATAATGCCTAAAATTAAAAAAACAGTGTAGCATTTCGTGGCAATATAAATATTTCCTATTGAATGTACTAAGTTCAAGGTACCTGAAAGATTATCCTGCTATCAGTATGTAACAGAAATTTTTGAAATTTTTAGCAATTGACTTCAGAATGCTTCTAAGTAGTCAATCGACAAAGTTGTTGAAATTTTTTTCACACAATGCTGTAGAAACTGGATAAATATACTAGCATAGAATTGTGTAGCCGGTCGAGAATTTTCCAATTAGTCGATCTAGTCTTGACTTTCAAAAAATCTTTTGGACTAATGAAAACCGGGAAAAACTGTCCAATTTATTGAGTCACTATTAATCGGTTAATGTGAATGGCGTCGAAATACATTTATTCCCCTTTCTGCACTCAGGTTTTTACAAGTCTCTAAGAGGAAATATAATGTCATATTTTATTTATATCAACTAGGTTTTTCAAAGATGAATATATGAGATATTTCTATGTATAGAACAAAAAAGAGTCATTTACCCATTAAATGTTTGATAAATTCCAAATCTTAACTTTTTCACTCAGCCTTTACAGACAAACCTAACATTTCTCTTCGACAGATGATCCAATCCTAAATTTGAACTTTATCAAAACAATGTATGAGATAAGTTTAGCTCAAGTAACACAATTTCAATTGTGCTTCGTAAAAAATGAAATATATTTCGATTAAAAAAATAAATGAATACCTATAAAATATTTTTCGACCGATAAAAGTTGATGAAAACCGACCGATCCAGTCCGACCAGACTGGATCAGCTACAACTATGTTTCAATAATTACTTGTAGATAGTTGTAATTTACGAAAAGACGGGGGAAATTGATTAGAATAAGCTCTTTTCTGTCTTTTTTTATATGAGAATTATCTGTTCTAATTATATACTACTTGTTAGTCTCTTTCAACCTTCTATTATCTGTTAATCACTTTTAATCTGTTATTTCTTGTTAATCGATTTTAATCATACACACCGAAAATCAACACTTTTCTCGAGATTCGAACGCAATATCCCAACTTTTGATAATTTTTGTTTTGAATTGCTCTTGTTTAGAAATCATGAAATTGCCACCAAGTTAAAGTCTAGCAAATAAAGTAAAGGTGAAACTGCTAAGTAAACTGTTGCAAATAGAGATGGTGTAGTTTTATAAGAAATTGATTAATCTTGTAAAATATAATTCAATTCTGTGACATAACAAAATTAGGATAAGTTTAAAGGAATAGGCATACGATATAGACATAAGGATATAGATAGGTCTTATAGGTCTAAGGTATAAATATGTGTATGTAGGCTTGAGGGTACAACTTTAAGAGTATATATCTAAAGCTACATTTGTGAGATATATGCAAAAGTGCATATGTGTTATGATAAGGAAGTAGAGGTTTTCTGATATCTCTTGTTTCAGTTGAATACGATCGCAGACGTTTATTTACATGGAGATACAGTCGTAAACCCTAAAACGTAGTATCGCTTCTGTTGGAAGTACGGCCGTTTTACAGCACGAGTATTCACTGTAAAAGATTTACGTATGGCATCGTATACGACACGATGATATACGGCCGTAATATAGTGCATAGTAAAAAGTAAATTTATGGCTCGTGTACGGTCGTATTTTAGACGTTTACGTTTGTTTACCATATCTTAAATGTTCGATTACAACCGCTTCTGCTCATGATAATCCTCGACCTGGATTTCTGCTGAGCGAGCTCAGTCGACTTGTGTTCAGGATGGCGTGAGCGTAAGACACGGCCCTTTGTACTTCACTTACACATATTCAATATCAACGCCGGCCTATACATATTTCTTCTATTGATCCGAATAATTTGCTTCGGTGTACACTTTAATGATATTTACCAACTTCTTTATAGTGAATTGATAAAATTAAAACTGATTTTTAATGCAAATTAGGTTATCACTAAAATAATCAAGTTTTTCAATCAATTTAGGGATTCTAATCAATTTTAATTGAATGATCCATAAAAAAATGAAGGCTTCATACAAAACATGAGATCTGTATACCCATAGTCAAAAACAGTGTGGTTTCTTAGAAAAATTTCTGACTGGCAGCTGGATACTCGACCAAAATATTGTTACATAATGATAACAGGATACGTTTTCAAGCACCTAGCTGAAAAATGTCTTAGTACACGGATACTTTGAACTTAGTACATTTAGATGGTTAGTTACTTACAGTTATTCGATCATTAGTCGAGTTAAGTCGTTTACATAATGCTATAGCACGATGTAAAACAAAATCATTACAATATTCACATGCATAATGAAAGACACTAGAACCATTGATATCACTAACAATAATTGATCTTGGATCAGTTTCCATTAATAAAATAGCTGTAGATATTGAGCCAGCTGCAATAGCTGTTAATAATGGTGTTTGTCCTGTTTTATTCATTAACATACTAGCTTGTGAAGTTTCACTGATTAGTAAACGCATGATTTCGTCATGACCAAGACGAGCAGCTAAATGAAGAAGTGTTTGACCACGTAAATCTTGCAAAGTATTTGTTGCAATAAAAGCAGCTTGATTATCAATAGCAGATGTATATCTACCACTGTGTAATGAACTTCGTTTTGTTGGCATTGTAGTAGATCTAGATGGTGGTGCTTGAATAAAAAGTAGATCAGATTTAGGTTTTGGAGGATATGAGTATCTTTGATGACTTGTTGTTAATTGAGTTGAATTAGGCACTGGACGACGTGCATGAATAATTCGTGGTGCAAAACGAAGATTTTCTCTAGCTGATGCGTTATCATCAAAATCATTTTCCTCATCACGCGAGTCTTTTGGACTATCAATAGATGGCCCAGCTTGTAAATGTATTGCTCGATGTACTATCGATGGATTGGGTGATGGTGATAGAAAATTTCTTTGATGTAGTTGACTTGTCATAGAAGATAATGCTGATAGCATTGATGGTGATTTATTATTATCATCATCATCATCATCATCATTATTATTAGTTTGAGAATAAAATGAAAATGTTGTTGGTACGATTAAACTCATCGATATATGTTGTGATTTTTCTTTTAAAAGCTATAATAATGATGCACACGTTTCATAATACAAATTATAATATATATAGCGTGTCGATTGTGTTTGTATGTCTATTGAGAATAAGCGAGAAAAAAAGAAGAGAAGAACAAAGAAAAAAAAACGAAACCTTGGTCAATGTACATCATAGCAGCAAATAGATACAAACGATAAAAGACAAAAATATATACGACGAAAGGATCGGCTTACTAAATCATGTTTTTTTTTCAATGATACTTTGTTTTTCTTTGCTTTTCATTAGTAATAAGATAAAAAAGATTAAAATAAAATATAGTTAAATAATTATCTAATGGATTCGATCATATATTTATTTTGACTTGTTTTTCTGATTTTTTTTTTGTAGATTATATTTATTTTTAATTTCTATCAAAAAAAACTAATAATTATACACGAAAAAAAATTAGCATATGATTCCGTTTCAATTCATTAATTTTTCTTAAATGTGGATACCTGCTGTTGTATAGACCGATATACAGAGTGTTGCGAAAGTTTTGTGATCTTTAAAAAAAAAGCAATTTATTTCAAAAGAAAACAACATAATAAAATTACAAAATGATGTTTAAAAAGCTACATTAGAGTACTACTGAAATTAACCGTGTTCATCTATACTCAGTTCACCATCATGTTTTTCCATTGAATACACTTCGTCGAAAAAAAGAATCCATTGCTATCCCCACACACCATAAGTGATATCAAGTTTCTTTATCACTTTCTCGATTTATTAACACAATTCGTTGAAATAATTTTTGCACTATTCTTGACATTTGTGATGAATATGAGAACCAACCTCATCTTGTTGGATACTCCGATTTTGGTGTTCAAATAGCTGATCACCCTCGCTTTTATAAAATGGTGACAATTGATTCTAATAACTTTTGCCATTCAACCGTTCTCCTTCTTGAAAAAAAATATGGACGTGCGCATGTAGTTCATTCCACATTACATCCAATACAACACTATAATTAGCGGTGTCAATTTATCTTTACTTTCAATTTAATTTATACTTTAATTAAATACTCAGTAATTTATAATTTATTAAATTATAAATTAAATCAAAGTGTTCCATTTCTTTTTCATATTTCATCCCAGTCACATGAACAAAGGAAAGACGCGTTAAAATTTTAACGAAAATAAAATCGTAAGAAGTTGCACATGTAAATGCATTCATAACGTATTGGATTTTCGAATAGATATTTTAAAATAAATATAACCTACTGATAATTTATATTTATTTTACATGAGGGGTAAACTGCGGACTTATAAAGACTTCATGGAACTTCAGCATGACATCTGATGCAGAAATTATGGAACGAATGTCGATTCCTATTTCTCTTCAATAGAAAGGGGTTTGTGAAAAACATTTTTTACTAGTAGATAGAGAATTTTTTTCTTTTTTCAAAACATATATGACTTATTTGTATCATCCATTCACTGTTAAAGTAAATTGGCAGTTTTCGTAAAATTCAAAAAGAGGTACGAAATGTTGATCCCTACATCTATTTGGTAAACACGTTTTGGATGATATATTTTTCAAACAGTCGCTAGGATATTTTTCCCTCTTCGAAACAGTTTATTATTCAATGCCTACTAATTTCATTTTTGGGCACTCGTTGAATTGTTCTTGTAAGACAATGGTTAACTTGGTTTTTATGAACGCATTAAAACAATTTTGTACAGCGACAGTTAATCAAAATTAATTGTCGTTCCAGACTATGTTTGTGATGATTCATATAAAAATTCAGGTAAAAAAATCAGACGAAAATCGTACAAAACCTCCTCCTCTCAGAAATCTTATATTATGGGAAAATCTTTCAAAGGTCTTACAGTACGATTTAAGGTCAGATTTCTGAGACCACAATTTTTCGCACGATTTCATCTCATCCTACAAGAGCTTACATCTGATTTTTTACCTGAGATCGAAAGTTCCTTGCGCTAGTGTTCTCTGTTTACTCATCTCATTTAATCTACGGTTCCTTAACAAATATAAATCATCTACTGTTTCAATGCGGAGAACGTTTCTTATCAACTAATGGAAAAATACTTCTTTTGCGTAGAACATGTTTATCGAAGAGATATCAGGATTCATATGTCGTACTGTAATTTATAAGAAAAGTTCAGACTCATTTTGAGGTGCTTCACTTTGTTGTTACACTGCTTCATTGATTGACGTGCAACAAAAATAAATCTAAAGATATAATGTGTGTTTCAAAATCGAGCATTGCTTCTTATGTAATTTTTCTATTGGCAATAGTACCTGACCGAAGGAAAAGTCCTTCAAGTAAGGGCACATCTTATTCTCGACTTTTCAAAGTGCCTAAAAATAAAGTGGCACTCTACTCTCAAGTACGTTAAATAATAATTTCAAATAAAAAAAAAGTACAAGGTTTATCACTTCTTGTGAAGAAATGATGCATTTATTAAGAAAAAATAGCTAAAATCAAGCACAAACATTTTTTCTTTACTTCTCAGTATTAGCGTGAATGAAATGCGACAGTGAATTTCTATCAACCTCTTTGCGAAGTTGTATTAGTTAATCCTTTCTGAACAGAATTAGGGTGTGGGTGTGGGTGTGGGTGTAGGTGAGTGTGGGTGTGGGTGTGGATGGGGTTGTGTTGGTGCTGTTCTTATCTTAATCCACATCCAGACCCACCCACGCCCACACCCACACCCCACACCCACACCCACACCCACACCCACACCCCACACCCGCACCCACACCCACACCACACCCACACCCACCCGCGCCCACACCCACACCCACACCCACGCTCACACCCACACCC